CCGGTGGGTGCCCGCAAAGCTGGAAGCGTTCATTTAACACCACCATGGCCCTCATCCTGCCGGCACAGCTTTTTCTTCCACATCCTTCAGCTTTCCCACCACTTCCCAATACACGCTGTACATGGAAAATGATGCTGAGGTGGCCAGAGCCATCACGGCACCGCTGCTTATGGGGACGAGGTGCTGATCCCGGGGGGGCTTTGCCCCGGCTGGGCAGCGATGGAGGCTCAGGGGCACCAGGAGGAGTCTGGGGCGTTTGCAAAGGCTTCCAAAGGCAACAACACGTGAAGAGGCAACTTTTTCAGGCCTTCTGGGATGCTGAGCCTTCCCCGCCCTCCATCACCTCTTTATTACTTTAATAAAGTGCCAGAGGTGAGTGTCAAAGGGAGAAGTCAGGGTCAGGCTGGGCAATTACACGGCTGCAGCCCGGCGCTGCCGCGAGGCTCGGGTCAGCCCGGGGGAGTCGCTGCAATTAAAGTCGGCGCTGAGCACAGGACGTGGATGCTCCCCCGCCGGGCACGGACCCGGACCCATGCCCCAGCTGGCTGCAAACTTGGCTGGGGCCGCCGGGGGGGGGGGCCAAGGGGGGGGGGAAAAGGACACGGGGGGGGGGCGGGGGAAAGGGCTCCCCGGCTCTCCCCTCCCACATTTCTTTGCCTTGGTGTCACCCTGCTCTGCACGGACACTGATGCTGGCTGCCTTCTCTGCCAGATTTCTTCTTTTTGACTATACAAAATAGGCAGCAAACAGCCCCAGAGCTGCAATCGCTCGCACAGCGCAGGGGACTTCGGCTGCCCCGGGCTGGATGCGGCTGGCGCGGGGAGGGGAGGCGTTGGTCCAGCGAGGGCTATGCCTTGCTCAGCCTTCCCGATGAAGAGAATGGGGAACGACCAGGGACCCTGCCTCTGGCAAGGGGACAGGGTGACACTGCAGATCACGCCATGGGGACAGGGAGGTGGTGACAGCACCCAGTGAGCGACCACAGCCAGGTTTCTCCCCGACGGGGCATCGGAGTGGCTCTTCCCCCAGCCCCGCTCCCCATGGTCTCTGAGCCATCCATGCAGGCTAAGGCTTAGCTCAGCAGCTCCCAAACTCCCGAGTCAAAATTGATTCAGCTGCTGCCATCACTTCCACCCACCCACCCACATGCAAATAAGCCCAAATGTCAGGAGTAATTGCTCCAGAGGAGGAGGAGGAGAGGGAAATTTCCCAGGCTCTACACCATGGTGCTCAGCCGTGCCATGGCTTACCCGGAGCCCAGGTGAGTCAGTGCCCCAAGGACCCCCTCCGTGTCCCCAGCCCCACGGGAGATGGCTGAGACACCCCCCAACACCACCCTGCGGGGCTGGAGGTATGTTTGGGAGCCTGTGCTGCAGAGCAGCCCCAAGAAATGGGAGCCTGGGGTGACCACCCTCGGCCCTGCTCTGGATGCACCCGTCTCCGGAACGCCGGGATTCAGCACTTGGTTTGGCTCCTCTGCCCCAGTTTGAGGTCGTGGTGCTGCCTGGCCGTGCTGGCCCTGCTGCTGGAGCCCATGATGCTGCTGGGTGTAAAATCATTTGCTTCACCCCCTCCCCAGCCCAGCCGGAGCCCTCCCGGCTGCAGCAGCTTTAAATAAGCCTCTGAGTGTCTTGCTAATCACCTTGGGCTGTTCTTCAGGCAGCGCTTGAGCACGGCTGGGGCTGGTGGAAGCTGGGCAGACTGTGCACGGGGTTTGCAAGGACCCTCCCCACCCTGGGGAGCAAGTGGGGTCCCCTCCTTTTCCCTCGGTGAGCCTCCCAGTAGCTGGGGTCCCCAGGGCTGTGCTGTGCCTCAGTTTCCCCACTGGAGTTGCTGGTACCGACCTGTGCACGACAGGTCGCTCCCGCCTGGGGTGGGGTCTGGGCAGACCGAGGCCGAAGGCTCATCAGTCCCCCGAGGGCAGAGGGGCTAAGCTCCCTCCTGGCACCGCTCAAAGCTGCTTAGGGGAATCAGATCGTGGGGATTTGTTTC